CCATAAGGCCAGTGTGTGCTGTGCCATGGTGCCATGGCTAGAGAATGGTGACCCAGAGAAGAGTGACATGTCTTCCAAGAGATCAGCCCGACTGCCAATCAACTGGAGACAGGATAAAGAAGATGTAGTCTTTTTTAAAACATATAAAATGGAGTACTACTCAGCCATAAAGAACGCAAAACTAGAGATAATTATAGCTAAGTGGATGCACATTGAAGCCATACTCGTACATGAAAGTAATAAGTCATACATGCGTAAATACTGAATAGTTTCTTTGATGTGAAAAACTAAAAGTGTAAATCAGGATCAAAATGTATAATTGATATTGTGTAACAGGAAGAAAAGGGTTAAAAAAGTAGAGGAAGTGGAAGGGGCAGTGGAAAGGTAAAAAGGGAAAAGAAAAAACGTGGAAACAGGGAAGGGTGGAGGGGGTGAAGGGAGGGCAGGGGAATGGGGAAAAATAAACCAAGATAAGTTGTGTAAAGGTACAAGATCCCAATGATGAATGTAACTGTATTGTATACCTAAAATGCACAATAAACTTAAAAATAATTTAAAAAGACTGAAAAGCTGAAAAGCAAACCACTGAGCTGGCTGCACATCAGTGCATGCACGAGGGACAGCATGAACTTGACTCCTGCCTAGATAGAGTAGAGAGTCTCTGTGTGTCTGTGAACAATGGGAAACTGGTAGAAAGGGGTGTGTGTTTCTGAAGCCCTAGAAGTGAGTACCGAGGGTGCCTGGCCTTGTGCATGTGTTTCAGCATCCAAATCCCTGCCTGTATGTGTCGTTTTGCTCGAGTATGTGATGAATGGTCATAATCACCCTGCTCTTTGCACTTCACCTCATTTAATCCTCACCATAGCGCTGAGAGATGAGACAGGCAGACGGGGCAGGCTTCATCTGTCTTACTTTACAGGTGAGGACATTAAGGTCAGAAGATGTCAAGCAATTTGCCTTACAACAGGTGAGCTTTAATTGTAGGCAAGTCTGAAAATGTAGCCAGGCATCACAGGATGGTGATTAATAGCTTAGGCTCCAACAGACTCATATCCTGGTTCTCCCATAGTAGTGAGGTTATATTAGGAAAGCTGCCTAACCCTGAGCCCCATTTTTTTCACCTAATAATGTGAAAAAATACATATTTATATGTGTGTGATGATAAAAACAGATAAAATATGTAATGCCTCTAACCCAAATCCTGGCACAAGGTAAGGAATAAACACTAGTAGCTATCATAGTACTGTTTTCAAGCAGGTAATTAAGATTGGAACCAGATCTAGTGGAAGATGGAGCCAGCTGTCAGAAAGGACATTCAATTTAGGGACAGGGTTTTAGAGCCAAGGAGAAATCTAATAAACAAACTCCAGGCGGTTTATAAAATCAGGTATTAGAATGGACAACTCTTATTTGCCTACTCACCACCTACTTTTTCTTTCCCTAATAGCAGCCCAAGATTCCTTTGGAGAACCACCCTTTTTCACATTGAATATCTGATTGCTGGGCTGCACTGGGGCTCTGCTTTCCAGGTCACAAGGTAACCAACCAGGCTTGGCTGTGGAGGACCGTGTAATCCCTGGCAGTTGTGATTGCTAGCTTTGAGCTTTGGGTCAAGCTCACTGGCACAAGTTTGGGAACTTATCTGCAAGGGATTAGTAAAATAAACACTTTCTTTTCGTTGGGGCTGCTGAGCCACAGCAATGTATGAAGAAGACTTGATAAAAATACTCCAAATGCTTAAATAAAAATTTGTTGTAGCGAAAGACACATTGCCATCAATTCTCCTCAAAATACTTAGAATGCACTTATCCCATCCTCCTTGTCACTTTCTGAAGCAGTTCTGGAAGTCCCTTTGCATGGGGGTCTTTAGTTGTGCTATCATGGCTGCCTCAATGGTGTGAATCAACTCAAAACCGTACAGCACTCTCTACTGAGACGCAGTGTCCTCATCTACCTGAGTCACCAGACCTGGCACCTTGCAACTTCTGGCTGTTTCTCAAAGTCAAAATGACCACGAAAGGTAAACATCTGCAAGTAACTCAGGACATTGAGGCAGCCACGACACTGCAAGTAAATACACCCATGAAAGAAGATGAAGAGCTGCGTCAGAAAGTGGCAAGAGCTTAGGAGAAGTGTGTTTGAAGTGAGGGTAGAGTATTTCAAGGGGACTTAGTGGCAGTATGTCTTTGACTATAATAAATATAAACATTCACCACAGTTGCTGGTCACACCTAGTAGGGCGAGGGGCTGGAGATCATCTTGCCATCCAAGGGAAGCACCTTCCTGACGGGAGGTCCGCCTGAAGGAAGATGGTCCTGCCCCATGGGGAAGTGACATGGCTCGAGTAACTGGACGGCAAGCTGGCTCTGTTCCCAGTTGAGTGTGTGTGTGTGTGTGTGTGTGTGTTTTGGTTATTTTTCTCCTTTCTCTATAACTGGGCATTAGATTCTGAATCCCTTGACATCATTCTTGTTCAGCATCTGGAAATATCTAGATAGCAAGGCCAACCTGTGACTACAGTGTGAGTCAAGTGGCTCCAGCGGATAAGAAGACTGCAGAGACCCCCTGCTCCAGCAGCGTCCTCTGGGATGGGCCCCTCTGCAGGGAAGGGAAAGACACTCCCTTCCTCTCTATTCCAGTTGTTTTCATTCTCTCTCCTTTAACACTGCTTCCTGAAAAGCTTAATTGTTGCCTGGAGTTCATAGAGGTAGCATCTCCTCAGTCAACTCATAAATGACAAGGAGCTTCATGCTTTTCTGAGACAGGTTCAAAGTCCCACCGTGGCTTACACCATGGACTTTGTGATATTGGTTCCTGGGATAGGGAATGAGAGATCATTCTGTTCCACTAAACATTCAGAGAACTTTAACCAAGTTCTGTTGTATCCATCCCTTAGTTTTAATAAAGCTTTTTACATGACTCAGTCTTCAACAGTAAATATTTTATTTGAAGCACAGCTCCTCATCCTGCATGCAGAGTGTGGTGCAGACATAGAAATTATTATATACAGAAAAGCCCTTGAGGCTCGAGTGAGTGTCAAAGTCTGGGCTGGGAGGCAGAAAGCCAGGCTCTAATTTCAGCAAGACAAGGGAGTTGGTGAAATTCAGCCTTCCTTTTCCAGAACAAAAATGAAAGTGCCAAAGTTGGTTTACTCAACTGAGATATGGCAGGAAGTATTAGGAAGACAACGTCTCCACGGCAGAAAAAGTACTTGGAGAAAAGCGTCACCGTTTTACATATGGGATCGAGAATATACTATGATGGGCGTCATCACATGAGCAAAAGTTGTTATTGTGGAATTAGTAGGTAGTGCGTGGTGAATTCTTACCCTTGCTCTGTGAGTCTTCTCTCTTTGATGGGTGGGCTCATGTGCAGTTCTGCATGATTGCTGCTTTCTTTGCTTCATTGACCACCGATTCACTCATTAAATCACTTCTAATTTTATGAATTTTTACTACTTACCCAGCAGTGGAGATCCAAAAAGTGGGTCAAGCAAGTTTGGCCCTTCATGAAGTCAACATATACTTTTTGAGCACCTACTGTGTTCCAAGCGATGGGGACGTAAAGATGATAGTCATGGTCACTGGTCACTGCAGTCTTGCTACTCAAACTGTGGTCTGAGGACCAGTGACATTAGCATCCCCTAGGAGTTTCTCTGACAAACACATAATTTCAGAGCCTACCCAGGCAAGCTGAGCCAGAATTTTCATGGAAACAAGAGCTCCAGAGAATTTGTGTGCACAGGAAACTTTGAGAAGCCTACTTCAAGGAAGGCCTATGTCAGAGGGTAATTGTCTTGGAAAAGAATCATGCTAGTGACCTAGAAGCCTGGCTGCTACAGTTTGCCAACTTTTTCTCTGAGGCTTGGGTGGACCCAAAATGAATCACTTATCTATGTGATGACTTAATGTATATTTTCAAAAGAGAAATAATAACACCAGCCCTTCTTTCTTTATGTGGTGATGCGAAGAACAGAGGAGAAAATAGTTGTACAAGTCTTAGTCCTACCCAAAAGCAAGGCAGTGCTTTTGTAACTGCTAAGGTTTGGAGACGCTACCATGTATCAGGCCTGGCTGCCTCACTCAGAAGCTAGGATTGGGTTCTGACTTCAAATTTCCATGCATTATGCTTCTCTGCAAAGGCATTTTTATCTCCACAAGTGAGAGATGCTAATATCAGGCTACTGAAGTTTCTGGCATGCAGTGAGATTCTATTGCTTTTTAGCAATGGATATACAGAAACTGTGAAGACATTTTATGTATTCAACTCAATTCTGTTATTCTGTTAAACTTACCAAGAGCTGACTACACGGGGGAAAAAAAAGTAGGCTGGACCCCCACCCTCAAGTAGTATTTCCTTTAACATGGGGATGGAATATTCAAACTTAGTTTTTATGGTACACTAATGTAAGTGCTTGAGCCTGGTGCAAAAAATAGGCAAAGATATGGGTAGATTAATATCAAAAAATTTTGCAAAATGAGGGCTCGACGATTACTTAGGGACTATTTTTTTTCACTGCTCTTTTAGCAAATTTTCAGGGTGGGTGGCACCCACCTGGATGAGTGACAAAACTTCCGCAGCTACTGGGGACAACTATATCACTAGCTCACTAGGAAGTGATGAATAGCTCCAGGGAGGAGCAAACACTTGTGCTTAGCCCTGAAGGCTGTGGATTTGGACACATATCACTATCACTCTGGAGTGGGAACTCTTTTTCTCTCTGTGGTCTTTAAGGTTTCTCTGGGAATGTGCTGTTTATTTAACTTATTAAAATAAAGTTTAATTTATTCCTAAAACTGCATGCAGTCATAGGTGGGGTTTGGGGGAGGTGTGCATCGTGGAGACATGTTACTCCTCAAGGATCAGGCCACTGATGAGCTTAGAGAGAAGGTGATGTGGGGAGGCAGAGTCTGGTTGGAGGAGACAGGTGTTGGGGGCGTGGCTTGGGAGGGTTTGGCTTCCTCCCCGACTCCTCCGGTCACGCTCTGCTTCCTGTCCGCCATGCTGTGAGCACCTCTCCTCTGCCAGCCCGCTGTGCCAGGCCACCCTACATTGGAGCCAGCTGACTTTGCACTGAAAACTCTGTGAATGGTGAGTCAAAGTAAACCTCTCCTTTCTTAAGCTGGGTGGTGGTGGGGTGTTGGATGTTTTTGTCCTAGCAATGAAAAAAATAACAAAAACAAGAATTAAGAGTTTGCTGAACACTGAAGCGGAGAGATTGTTGCTAGGGTGAATTCCCCCATCAAAAGTTGAGCTGACCCCAGTGAATGAATTGGCTTCCTAGTGAGTCAAGGGCTGCTGATTCCCTGCTTCTCTTCCAGCGATTCCCAGCTATGTGAGACCTAGCAATTGGGGCCACTGAGGGACAGGAGCGGGTGTGACAAAGTCATGCGATTGTGGATCATGTGTCTCTAGCCATGAATATCTCATAGCTGTGAGATGGTGACCTAGCTACAGGATGGCAGCCACAGAGGCCTGGTGGGCCCCAGAAATGAGAATGAGGAGATCAGGGTCACGTTTTAGGCTCTCTAGGATAATCCGCGTCCTTGTTTTTCTGTATGAGAAACCATCGGGAGGAACTGCTCTGGTTGGCAGGTGACTCCCACTGGCCCCCATCCCGATTCTCTTTGGTCCTCTGTAAGGTATGTGCCTCTACCTGGACCCATGCCCTGCCCAACCCACCCTCAGCACATCTGTGTGTTTTAGTAGCACCGAGTATTCCCATTACAATCATCCTTCACAATTGTCATTTTATTTACTTCCACAAGTAGCATTGAGAGCCTGCTACGTATCAGGCAGCAGACAAAAAAAAGAGATCCTTTCTCTCACTGAGATTTTTTTTGGGGCAAAAGTTATGGAAAAAATAAATGAAAGGAACAGGTAAATTTTCAGGACAGAAGACAGTTCAAGAGTTAGAGGACCAGAGATGGGGTAGGAGTCAGGAGCCACTTTGTCCAGAATGGTTTGCGATTGCTCTTGGAGGTTGTGGCACCTGGGCAGCTGGGACCACATTAGTGAGTAGGGCTGCCGTGCAGAGATCTGGGGATTGCAGCCCACTTGGAGGGTCTATTTCCAGGGGCATCAAGTGCAGAATGTTACTGCGGAGGTGTTTGCGGGTGGACAGAAGGAAGGAAGTTTTAGGACCTGTCTGAAAGCTGTATTGCTGAGGAGTCACCTCGCTGGGCTTGAATTGTGTGCTCCTTGTGTGAGGGGCTCAGGAAGGTGTATGGATACTTTTTTTTTTTTTTTTATTGAGTTTATTGGTACATTTAGGGATACAGTACAGTTACATTCATTGTTGGGATCATGTACCTTTACATGGCAAGTCTTGATTCTCATTTTTTTCCCCTTACCTCTGCCCTCCCTTCACCCCCTCCTCCCCTCCCCATCTACAAACACTTTATTTTCATCTTTTCATTCTCTCACATTTTTTTCTTTTCCCTTTTTGTTCTTCCCCTACGTATCACACCTTCCCTACATCTTTAGCTCCTTTCCTCCCATTTCTAAATGTCAGTAATCTTATTAGAATCTTATGCATTGTTGCAGAATATTCACACCAGGGAAACTATTCGGTATTTACACATGTGGGACTTATTTATTTCACTTAGGAGTATATCTTCAATATGTGGATACTTTTATGGGATGGGTAGAAAAGCTCTTCTACCTGCCTTCTGAATTTGTCTTCTTGGAGACTTTGGTAAGGATGCAGATAAAAATGAGACACATCCGGAAGGGCAGTGTGGTTGTTGTGTGAAGGAGTGGGTGGGATGATCTGGGGCCTGAGGAGTCCACAGGAACAAACCCTGGCAAGGAGCTTGAGTTTTGTCTGAGTGATGGGATGGCTGTGGCTGGATTCGATGTTAACTGACAAAATGGTGATTCTTGTATTTTGCTCAGCCAGATTCCTGATTCACAGGCCTGTCTAGATTCTCATTAAATGGGACCAGAATACGATGGTAACACTACTGTCATAGATAATTGAAGTTCTGTGTGTGCATTTCTAAGTACATATAGGTATAACTTCTTCCCATAAGAGCCATGACATAGATAAAATGTGAAGTAAAGTGAAGGTAACCCTGAGGTATGCCCTTTCCTATTCTGCCCCAAGAGACACACCAGAAGGCAGGGGCGGCTTGATATGAGCGTTATTTTCAGCTCTGCCTTGAGTTTCATATAAAAATTTGAGTTAGAATTAAATTATTAATTGTCTGTTCTCTAAACGTTCCTCAGAAGCTCGATGACCTGGATGTCCTCTAAGTCATTCATTCTTTTTCTTCTTGCTACCATCCAAACCCCTTCTCAGGTAGCTGGTACAATGAAGTTGAAGTTCTAATGGTTTAGTTTCTATTCGAGTGTCCCTAAGACAGAGCAACTTAATATTTTTATTCTCCACATATGTGCTTTTGGACAGGAGCCATGGTTTCGCTACTGGGAAATATTTGGACGTGGGCAAGTTCAACCCCAGGCCAGGGTTGTAAGAGACAGATGGACAGACAAGATCCTTGTCAAGAGCTCTTGAACCTACCCCACAAGTATGTTGTGCTTATTCACTGTGTTACTTTTCTATTTGCTGAGGCAAAATACCTAACACCCAAAGTTAGAGGGGGGAAGGTTTATTTGGCTTACAGTTCATAGAGGTTTCAGGCCTTAATCAGCAGGGTCCAAAGCCGGGTGGCAGAGGGGCAACCGTTCTTGGTGGTGGAAGCAGCAAAAGCAACAAGAGAGGTGGGATGGGTGTTGCAGAAGAGAAACGTTCATGGCACCCACAAGGTAGCAAAAGCAACAAGAGACCTTAACAGTGTCTTTCCGCACCTTGTATCTTACTCAGACTACTTAGCATGGTAGCATCCTGCCTTTAATCCTAGTGCTCTTGGGCCTTGCCCCACCATGAATCAGTCACACTCTCTAGATTCAGCCACCTCTGAAATAGCCTGTGATCACATGAGGCTTTCGGGGGGCATCTGGACACAAACCATGACACTATTTCCTCTTCCTACTACTCCCTTGTCCTTCTGGACTCCTAAGAAAGCCATGACACTATAGAAAAACATGAGACGCAAAAGTTATGAAAAATCATTTGTAGCTACCAGCACTTTTGTCCTCATAATAAGGGCTTGTGTGGAAGAATTTCTCATTCTGCAAAGGGCTTTTCTGAATAATACAAATACTGTGGAATTTATGAAAAGGAGGAGACACATACAGTGTTTCCCATGTGTCAGATTCTGTGCATGTTTACCTGCAGCGGCAGGCACTTTCATGAATGAGAGAAGGCATTTGTGTTAAATTCACAGACTTATAAATATGTGGATAATTTTGAAGATCTGAATATGTCACATCACATCTACAAAGGGCCACCGAGCCAGGCCCCACCAGATATGATTTATTAATCACTAAATCCATTTTTGCAGAAGATGCCAAAGGCTTCCACAGTTGGGGAGGAAGACACCGTATCAAGAAAATGTATTCTCATTAGAGAAAGCAATAAAGCTCTGAGAGGTTTTGGGCTTTTAATTATTAAACATTGAAATAAAATTTCAGATGAATCCCCCAAATGCAAATTATATTATAATGCTTTATGTTACTTTATGTACAGATGTCAGGAGAGATGGCTCTAAATGAGTTTTATAGGGCTTAAGGGAGGGCTTACAGGGATGCTGTGGAGAAAGTTGCAGGTAGGGTCCTGACCCCAGGGAAACAGGTTTATCCTTATCTCGGCCGGGAGCTAACAGCAACTCATCGACTAAGGAAACAAATCTTCAATGAAACTTGAACAGATCAAGGGTGAACTATCCTTTCAAACTAAATATTTGGCTTCTACGATAAAATTGCAAGTTAGTGCTAACAGTAAGGTCTCTTCTTTTTCCTTTTTATGATATTTGCCTTTTCCTTACAAACTTAGCTGAGAATTCATTTGCTAAAAGTCCCCACAATTGTGTAATCGCTCTTGTCCTAATTTCTTAAAGACTTTAAGATGTTGGAAATTTAGCTAAAAAACATTTTAGATTATTTTTCCAGTTCACATGCTATACCTTTTTTCTGTTTCTCTCTCTCTCTTTTTAAAGAAACCTTAAAAAACAACAGTTGTTCACAGACAAAATAACAGCTACTGCCCATCTGCCATCATTGGACTTTTAAAACTACAAGTTGTCTTTTAAATTTTTCTTCAACCTTTGACATACAACTCAAAACAACTTTTCATAAACAGGTTTCATATATATATATATATATATATAT